GATTTTTTCTAAAATCAATGATATTTTAAAATGGTTTCATCTATAACTTTATGTTGTGATTGAATTGTAAATACGTGTTCAATTTCATGCGCGATGTTATGAGCATAATGACTGACTGCGGGACTCCGTCTGTAATGAGAAATGTTGTGAACCTTCAAAATTGCATGTATAAAAACTTTCAATGTTTTTCCTCCGAGCAAACCACCACCTTTTTTCCATAGGAGAGTAGGAAGTTAAGGAGGAATTTTTATTTAATTGTACCTAAATTGTAAATATCAGTTCAGTAGATGCAGTTTTGTGAACAAAGTGACTGTGAGACTTCGTCTATAATGAGACAAGGTTGTGAACCTTTGAAATTGTATGTAAATAAATTCTCAATTTTTTCCCTTCGAGAAAACCACCAGCCTTTTTTCATAGAACGGTGAAAACTGAGGTGTGAAATTTTTTTAGTTGAGTATTTATTTGAAAGAATATTTTGAGTTAATGAGACGGCTTTCTGAAAAGTGGTATTAGCTCATTTACATCTATATGTAAGATTGGAACACATCTTTCAATTGTTTAACTTGTTGAAGACGAGATGGGTGTTTACGTTATACATCTACGGAAACTGGGAATTACTGGAAACTCGCTCGCACTTAAAAATTATTTAAAAAAAAGAGCGATTATATGTTTCTCTGTTTTCGTAAAAAGTGATTCTCTTTATGGTTATGTCAGAGGGAGGTTACTCGAGTATTCTGAGAAAAATAGGTTCTAATTCTTTGCAGAAGAGCGAGAAAAATCTGTAGAGGAATTGCTTTTTATTTGCCGTTTGAAAATTATACATAAAATATATATTGGTTTACTTACATACTGAAACCAAAAGAAGTCGCGACATCTTACTGGGGCTCCTAGGACTGTATTCAAGTCTCTCTATTTTAGGCACAAATCATATCAATTGTACACTACTTAAAACGAATTTAAAAACCTCGGATTTTCTTTTTTTCCTTAGCGTCTTTTGACTTGTTTTAATAATACATGCGAAGCAAAAAGTGTACTTATTCAAACAGTTTGTACTGTGAGTCAGTCAGTTTCATTCAGCTATACAGAGAATTTGTACCAACTTTTTTTTGATAGCTTTCATTCGGTGTTGGCCATGGAAAGCACCGTGCCCAAACGACGCAAAATAAGAACCAAACCAAGGCAAGATGTACCTTTTGAATGTAACACCCACGCTCTCTCTAACTAGCTTTTGGAATTTTCCATTTATTAATTCTTTCTTTTCTTTCTTTTCTTTCCTCATATCTCCTTGTTAGGGTTTTCAGTTCAGGTTGTTATCGTTTTTGTCAGTTACACCTACACTTCCGCACTTTTTTCTACCACGCGTAATTACGAAGTCCTCTTGTATTTGAACCCAATTCGTTTTGCCATAATCACTTCCGAAAGATTGTGAATATACGAATATCACATATCTGAATTGCGGATTAATAAATTAATGAGAGTGATATTCGCAGTAATGAACACGACTTAAGCATCAATACTTTTATCAGTCGGTTTTCCTAGTAGTCGCGCTTACCGCACTCTTCTGTTCTAGACATATTTTTCATAAACTTATTTGCAATCGCTGTTTTTTTAAGGCGTTGTCAAAGTAGGTATTTTCTCTTTTCATTATGTTTGGACTTCTTTTCGTTTGTGAAATTTTTATCTTACTCAACTTATCTTTCGTTTGCGTTTTTAGTTTCAATCTGTTTGCTCGTCTACGTCAAATTAAAAGTTAGTATTGAGAAGTTGACGCTTTCGCTGTTAGACTGAAAGGTATGTTAAAAACAGTTTACATCTTTGCGAAAGTCAACCGGCTAGCAACAGAGAAAAGACGATAACTCAGATTTAGCAGTAAAAAGCCACTGTTACTTTAAGGTGATTCAAAATTAGAGTAAAGCTACTGAATTTTATGTAAGATTGATGTCAACGCTCTCGTCTTTTAAAAAACAGCTTTTTTTAAAGAAAAAAAAATTTACCGTTTTTTTAAAGAGGAAAACAAATGTCGACTTCTTTGTATGTATAATAAAAAGCGTAAAACGAATAGATCTCTAGTAAAATATATATATATTTTCGTTATAATTTTCATTTAGGAGGGTACAACATTTCAAATTTTCCCAAATATTTCTAAACCTTTTTTTTTTTCTTATTATGAAACCCCGTTGTTTTAAAGGTGTTTTATAAGACGACAAATCCAACTTTACTGCTGACTTTTTAATTTAAGCAAGCATTGAATGATTTTAGTCACTCAACCTGTACAATGAAAATTGAAGCAAGTTATCTTTCAACCTACTACATTATGAAGACCCATCTGCTCGTCACCCTAGCATGCTAATGTGCCTTATTAAGAAATTTATAAAATTATCAATTTCGGTTTTTTTGTGTGAAAATTAAATAACTTTAAGCCTCCGCACATAACATGCTGAAAGTAATCTGGACTCGATTAATTATTAGTTTAAAAGTTCCGAGGATTTCTTGGCATCAATCCATTTTCAATGCACACACGAATTAAAAGTTTATCTTTGTTTCATTTTTATTTTTATTTCCTCACGTGCCACACAAAGAATTACTATCTACGCGAACAATATTTCCTATACACTGATTAATCATGAATTATGACTGAAAAAAGACCGAAGAGTTTGACTACATTAAGCAAAACTACTGTGCTTTCGTTCTAAAAACTACAGATTTCCAAGAAGTGAGGAATTCTTCTAAATTTAATGATTGCGTGAGCTAAGTGACGTATTTTTCAACGTTTTCATTCTTAAGTGATAACCACCTTTTACGTCAGTCAGATGGAGCTGTCAAAAGCTTGTCCGTTAATTGTGCTCTTATCAGAAGTCTAATCCTGGTATCTATAGGGAAAGGCGTAGCTTTAGTTTGTGACAAGGAACGAAAGAAATCATATAAAACCTACAGATCTTGAAGCTGAACCCGGAATATGAAAGGCTGCGTCGAGATGCAGGAAAGCTTTTAAAGAAACAAGCTATCGTGTTTCGCCTTCAACACTTACTCTTCCACTCTTTTCAGTATCACAAGCGATAAGAAACTCAAAGGTAAATTACTCAATTTAAAGTTTCTAATTTGTAATACCCTCTGATGGAAAACTATATTTACTCCCAAGTTGCAAACAGTAGGTATGAGCAAAAAAGGACCTGGTCACGTATGCGTTCATATAAAATTGTTGCTTATGAATCAGATTCGAGTGTAAATGCGAAGGTCTCGATGCGCTCTTCGTTTTTCAAGTGTGAACCCTGAAAGAGATGATAGATGAAACAATGTAAATACGAAAAAAAAGTATTAAGAATTAGCAAGGTGAAAAGAAATGGATAATGTTGGAAATCATTACATAAAATGTCTCCACAAACTTTCAACGCGCTACGTGACCGCCATGACAAAAATGTCAACTGTGTTGTAGCAGGTGACTTGAAGGAACGAGTTTGATTAAAGACTGACTAGGTTATTTGTTAATATGATAATGTAATTTACAGATTTTCAGGGTAATCAACACCGTCGTGTTCCTTTGCATGACAGAATTTTTTTGCTTATTGATCTGAAGCTCACTGATAGTGGAAATTCCCCAAGAAAGTTATTTTCACATTAGAGCAACAGCCTGGAATTATAAAATAATAAACTGCGAAGTAGGATTTTCGATGGTATTTAAATAGTGCTAAGCGACAGAATTGAGTTTTATTTCGTTCTTCACACTTTTATAGCCTTCGTTTAATCGGCCTCCAATTCTCGGTGATAGAAATCTTTCACGGATAAATTTAATCGCTTTTCTTAGGAGAAACAGGTGCCAAAAGGGATTCTCTATTTTGTTAGAGTTGGCGGTGAAACCAACTGTGATATTTAATACAAGCCAAAACAACTGAAGAGAGCTGAATCAACGGTTGCATATAATTGTTATGATTTTTTTTTCAGCGAATTGAAGCAGCCAATAATTGAAAATGCCGAGTGGTCACCAGATTTGCTTTGTTTTTCAAAGTGTTGTCTTTATAACCATGTCTCTAGTGACTACCTCCTCAGCTACAAGTGAGTAAAATTAAAGAAGAGAATTAACTAAGGATTAAAATTGATAGATCTAAAAAAGATTATTTCCAACAGCGCAAGTTATCTAGTTATACAATAGTTGAGTCCCATCTTTCAATCCCGCTTCTAAAAATATGAAATTTAATTAAAAAAGTCTAGGCGCATGAAAATGAAGGAGAAGTAAGACTTCGAGATATGTTTGGGGCAATTATTTTTTCTTTAAAGGAAAAGTTCAATAACCAACTAAAAACGGAGAACCTTACATCATTATTTACAAAAAGCTATCAGGTAGAGGAGAGCATAAAGTGAAAATCTTTATGCGGTGTCAAAGAAAAGCACGAAAGAAACGACGGAGATACGCAAACACCACTCACAGCAAGGGACAACATCAGCTTTGTAGAACAGGAAACTTAACGACAGGAGAGCATGAATGCAAATATGCCCTCGCACACAGCTCAAACAAACCATTACAATCAATAAAAGGAGTAAAAATTTCAAATCAACAAGAAAAAATTGGGCTTTATGGATTTCAAGAAGCCTGACCAAAGGTACATTGAATTAATTTGTTGTCAACAACAAAGCACATGACCAAACTACTTTAGTATAATTCTGATTTCAATCTTTTTTTTCGCTAAACAATCAGGTTCGAAAATAATGTCTTGACCTTTTTCGTTTCAATTTACATAACCAACAGAAGGGTGTTCCACATTTCTCCTTCCATCGGGAAAGTGTTGCGTGTTTCCATTTGAGTACAATGGCACACAATACAACGAGTGTACGGTTGATGGGTCAGCCAGGAGACCCTGGTGTGCCACAACTTCCAAT